TCTCCTAAATTTAGGGCTTTCAGCCAAAGGCCTAAGTTTAAGAGCCCTTGCCACATCTGGGTTGGGCAAGATTTTTTAGCGATTTATTTTGTAAAGGGTGATGAGAGTAGGCAGTGGGGAACTCCTTTTCCTCAGTCCTTCTTCAATTTGCATGACAGCAGGATAAGTCCAAAAAGTTTTCTTTGCAATTTTTTTCTGAAGTGGCTCAGGTTTAAAGGAAAATAAGGCCAAATCATAGGATGGCAGAGAATATTGATAAGATCTGAACTTGATGCAAGGTAAAAATGAGAAAGGAAGGGGTGTAATGTTAAATGTGCGAGGATTAAATGCTTTAATGTTGAAAAATGATGCTTAAAGGTGAGCTGTGTGAAGACCGAGAGATCTACACAGGAGCTGAAATAAGCTGGTTCATATGTGGCCTACTTTGAGAAATTGTGGTTTAAGTGTAGTATGGCTTGAATTGGATGACTTCTCAAGATTTTCATCATCTGTAGCAACGTGGGGCTGACAGCAAAGAGAATAGTTTAATAGGAAAGAATCAGAAATTTATACATGAAAAAGAAGGAATAATAGTAACAGAATGGGTGGAATAAGAAAAACACAAAAAGGAATTTTAAAAAAGGTAAATATGAAAGAATCATAAGTTTATGAAGATAGAAAAGTAAATGAATTAAAGCAATTTAATTTTTAGGAAATATCTCAAATGATTACCTTGAACTTGTGGTGATCATTTTATTATGCACAGGTAACACAATGTTAGGCAAGCACAACCAAGGTTTGGAAAAATATTTGTATTAATCAGTTCTGTATTAAAGTGGAAATGCAGCATAGTTGAGGAAGTCTACCTTTAAAAAAACCTTAGGTTTTTTTTTAGATTTGTCATTCTCAATTTTGATATGAATACAACTTGATTTTATATTGTATAATTTATAGATAAGATTATGTAAAATTTTTCACCCATGGATAATCTGCTCAAGATTTTAAGAATAGCCTAAAGAAGAGTAGTCTTGTAAAAGTATATATCATGGTGGATATAGCCACGTATAAAGTATTTTTCTTAGTATTGTTATCACGTTTTCCTTCCATCAGTTAGAAATTTTTAGTGTTTCGTATTTTCATTCTTACCTAAGCTAATGGGGTCAGGCAAATTGTTAGGGTGAGTGAGCATTGCTATCAGTTACAATGAAGAGATTTAGGTAAAATTCCATGAAGCATACAAATATTTATTAAACAAATGAGGGGGTTCAAAATAGCTCATATTCCAAGTTCTATAGACTTGATACTCACGTTTTCTGTTATTTAGGTGCTCTGCTAACACTGTATGAAAAATGCACTGAACAAGAACATGAACATGTTTTAAGACAGAATTCTGTTACTCTAATATTTGTTGTCTGCCACTGTGACCCTCCAAACCAATGAGTGGATACACGAGACAGATCTTAGATGCTTTACCCAAGTGTGCAGCCCACAAAGTTTGTTGGATCCTCGTATGTGTTTGTGCAGAATGAGGAGTGCCTCTGAAATATTTTGGCCAATCTCTAAGTCTGGAACACCACTAATTTCTTTCTTTAATGAAAAATACTTTTTCAATACTTACTAAACACTCATTGGGCTAATTATTGTTTTTTGTGTTGATTAACAGAGACAGACATAGCTGAAACATTTTTCTGACTAAATGTTTGTTCTATAAAAATATATGCAATAAAGTAAAAATTATACTCTCCCTACTCTCCAGCCTTTTCCTCATCCACTGTGATCCTCCTGGACTTTTATCGGAATACACACTTAATTTGTGTATGCTCTCATATAAACATACTAATTTTTTTCTATTTTGCAAACTGTATTCTAAATTTCTTTTGTCTGTAGAAAAAAAACAAATCAATGTATTTGTTTTTGCCAACTCAATGAAGTTTTGGCAGTCAATGTATTTAATAATTTGCACCCACCTCACCAACTCGAAATTCATTTTCTGACATTTCACTCGGTACAGTCAGTGTTTCAGCCCCTCTAGACTTCTCACAGTCCCCTGCACGCGCTTTACCCTTTCCAGACCTCGCTCCTTTCATGATTCTGTTCTCTGCCTGGAAGGCATGTACTTTTTCTATTTTATCTTTCTGTCTTAAAAATGTGTTTCAGATGTTACGTTCTAAGTGAATGTTTCCTTCTTTGCTACTGTGGAATCATTCCTTTCTCTGTATTTCCATAGTATTTTGTTTATAACAGCTATGACAATGACCATCATTATAATGGCTAACAAGTGTTGGCTGCATTGTGTGTCAGTTTAACTTTTTGTTGCATTGATTTAATCATTTTTCCAAATTATTTTATAGCTCACCTGATATGGGTGTTTTCTTAAACAGACCACAACTAACTTACTTATCTTTAGATTCTAGGATATGGTTCTATACCTGGGCATATATGATAGGTGCCAAGCAAAACCACTCATGAAAGAATGAATGTAAAAATGTTGCTCTTCGGTACTTGGTATGAAAAATAACGCATGGAAAGCGAGAATTGCTCTCTGTCTGAATAAAGAATGTAGAAGGATACAGTGTGAACTGAATTGGATGCAAAAGCTGAAAGGGAATGGCACGGCTTTTCCCCATAGAACATCCTCTAGAGTATTTTGTAAGTATGTTTTAGAGGATTGGGGGAAACTGAGGAAAATGCAGACAGAATTATCTTAGTCTGAGATGCTTCAAGTCTGCGTTATTTGTTGATGGCTTTAGCCTTTATGCAGGTATTTTGGGTAGTTACGACAGAAGAAAATAACATTCATCGGAAGTATAGCATAAAAGGCCTAGGCAAAATGGGAGCAGGTGAGAGAAGACTGCTATGAGGTGAAAATATAAGTTGTATTTGTCTGTGATCTTCAAACTTTTTGCTTAATTTGCCTCTTAAAATAATTTTGAAAAACAGTGTACCACTTTGCATATTTTAAAGTTGATATGTAAAGCACTTATTTAATCATAAGCTTAAGTAGCTACAGGAACTACTTAAAAATATATTCTATGGTGTATGTATGCTTTAAGTAAATTTTGTCAAAACATTGGACTTGCCTGTTTCACTGAACCTTGAAAACTGTTCACCATATCATCTAATTGGCTAAGTCTGTCAGTGCCAAACTGCTTAGGTGAGTCAGACTTAATGTCTGTCAATAACAAGCCTGACTTTATTTTTTAATTGAGATGAATATGCTAATACACTCTAGGACAACCATTTCATGTCTGAATTCTAATTGTGGGATGGATATCTAGACTGGTGTATAAGCAGTCAGACAGACTGGTAGAAAGCAGGAGACTTGCCAGGAGAAAATGAGCATTACACCCTTCAAGTTTTCCTGTTCTGCTCATAAGGATTATCCCCCAGGATCCATGCATTCTTGAATTATCCCTTTGCATTGTGCTCAGTAGACTTGCACACCCAGGGGCAATACACCATAACGAGGTTTGGGATGGGTGAGAAGTATGCTTTTTTTGTAAAGTAGAAACAGGGCTCTTGTGAAAGGCAAGAGAGGAAAGAAACTGGCGGCTTGCAGGTGCATTCTCAGACGGATCAGTTTTGGGAAAGGGCACATGTGGAAGCTGCGGATTTGGAAATGGGTTCTGCTTAAATATTTATATTTGGGTTACCCTTTATGAAAAGTCTTTGTTTACATTTTCTGGAAGACAGCTGGCATGGATTGTGTCTCTGTAACATCCTAGGCCTTACACACTGTGATCGCAGGATAAATTGAGTGTGACACCTGAAATGTATTTTCTGCTGCTTTGGTAAATACACCAAGTCTTACACCTCGTATCTTACATTCAGGAGTGTACCAGATACTGAAATCTATTGGTTAACCAATTACGAGAGAAGAGAGAGGATGAGTGTATAAATGGTCAAAATAGAAAAGTTACACAAGAGGAGAAGAAATCCCTTCCCTCAAATGTAAGGAAACATTTGTAGTGTTTGAACAAGGTGAAGATGAAGAGTTGATTAGGGGATTGATTACGAACCCCTCCCCGCCACAGTAATTGCAACTAATCCTTACTTATTTACAGTGAAAAAGGACTTTTACAACTTGGACTTTGCTGTGCTTTGTGAAATTTTATTCTGTAACTAAAAAATGTTTTATTTCTAACCTAAAACATAGGCAAATAAAAATATTTAGTCTTTTCAAAATTATTTTTATTCTCACTTTAGAAACTCTGTTTTTGGTTTTAAAAATAAGTTTGTAAGAATATTTATAAATGCTTAAAAATGTTTACATCAGTATTGATTTAGCATTCTAAATGTAACATATTTTAAAATGTGCAGCTTTATTTTATGAACTCCATCTTTTGTACTGAGTTATAATGTAACACAGCATTAGAATAACTCTGACCAACATTAGGAAAGCTTCCTAGTGAGCTATTTGTTTAGCTGTTTATAAAATCACTTAAAATACTGGCATTTTAACCACGGAAAATTGCTGGTATACAACTAGGAAAACTAAGCAATATCAATTTTATTCCCATTGCTTTAAAACTCTAGTTTTTAAAAATGAAATAAGAACCTATGTTAAAGTGGAAAGAACACTAAATAGTGCCTGTAGCCCAGAAGTATAAAATACTGTCTATGGCTATAATAAGAAAATGTTCCAGCAGGTTCAAAAGAGATGGGGAATAAAAAGCTACCCATTTGCTTTGTGTAGAAGCAGTAGCAATCTGCAGACAAGCTATTTCAGCTTCAAAACAGTAGGGTAGATGGTTTTATGGGACTTGCAATTACAAAAATCCACTTTAACCTTTCTTTCTTGCTGGCAGGTGTCCTGCTGGCTTGCAGCCAGAGCTGTGAGTGTAGTGTAGCCGGCGGTGGCCCCCAGGTGCTGAAAATGCCAACACTCCAGCTGGCTGCTCATAATTGCACCGATTGTGGTCTGACAGCCAGAGCTCCAAGAAAAAAATGTGATGAATATGTGAAAATATTTTACAGATTTGATCACATTACAAATTTTATCTCTTTTTTCTCCTTTATAGATATGATATCTGCACTTATAAAAATAAGCCCTGTGGAACCCTGGGTAAGTGCTTTATAAGGGGAAGACAATTTAAGTTGTCTCTTTGGCCCTGTGACTTTCCTATTGATTATTGATTTGGTCATTTTCCTTTCTGACATGTCTGAAGTTATTCCTATAAATTGTTAAAACTGACCTTCGTGGATATGTCACTTACTAGGAAAGAAGTAGAGTGATGATTAAAAACAACTTAGAAGATGGCCCTGGCTGGTGTAGCTCAGTGGATTGAGCGTGGGCTGCTAACCAAAGAAAGGGTTGCCAGTTCGATTCCTAGTCAGGGCATGTGCCTGGGTTGTAGGCCAGGTCCCCAGTGGGGCAACCAATGTGAGAGGCAACCTCACATTGATGTTTTTCTCCTTCTCTTTTTCCCTCCCTTCCCCTCTCTCTAAAAATAAATAAATAAAAAATTTTTAAAAAACAACTTATAAAATAATTAAAAATCATCAAACAATAATGATAAATGGCCACTCATTTTCACGGAATCCATCTCTGTAATGTATTTTCCAAAAATACCAAGGAGTTTGAGAGCAAATAAAAGCAACCAGCATCTTTAAATTTTAGGCAAGGAAAAAGAAGGGGAAAAACCAACTTCGGAGTTACTTAAAGAAGAGGCAGGTAGAACAGTATTTTTGGAGGGGGATACAATTTGGTAAAAATAGTCTAGCCCCATAAATTGAGATATTAATGGAATTTTTAGTACCTCAGCTAAAAAACTTTTGTAAAATATTACAGACAGTAAATAGAGATGATAGGATTATATTTCTTGTGTGCTCTCCCCCCAAATCATTTTTAAAGCATTTCTGTAATATTGCAGAATTTCAAAAAAATCACATTATGTTGCAGATCATAACTTTATACTGGTAAAAGTTAACTGCAAATACAAGTGGAGGAAATGGCGGCTTTCAAGTACACTGAATTATTAAGCAAATAGAATTATTTTAAGAAACAGCAACTTGTTCTATGATAACTTTTTAGTTGTATAGAGACTTTTTACAGACTCAGAAGCTAAGCAACTGAAGGTGAATTCATTAGTTTCTCCATAATGTTTCAACTTTCTTATCTGTAAAGGGATAATCATAAAATCTATTCCTATGCACCTCTGAAGAATTTTTTAAGATCAAATTAAAGTAGAAATGGGAAAGAAGGTATTACCTAACTTCCTGGGGAGTTCAGTGAATCATCTCTTCAGAGATTAAATTTTCTCTTGATGGTTTTACCTTGCCTTCCAGTCTTCTACCTCATTTCCCTCAGGATTTATGGTCAAAGAAGAAATTCCAATTAGCTAAGGATGAGTATTATGGTGGAGAAGTGATAGTTAAAAAGCACAATGCAGAAAGCTCTTTGCTGAGAGAGCTCAATTCAAAAAGGTTTTATTTGCAGTGATGTGGGCTAACAAGAGCAGAGTAATCAGAAGGGACCTTGAACTGGAGACGAACGACTGACCTTGACAACCTACCTTTTACAGTTTATTTAGCTTTTTGTAACTCAGTTTATTTATGAAGTAGGAGTAATATCTGCCCTTAGGTTATAAGGATACTGTTAAAATCATTTAAGTAAGAAAATACGAAGATGTTTAGTGAAGAAGTATTATAAAACATGAACTGTTAGTATTTAATGTGGAAGTTATACTGTTAGGTTAACTTTTTGTTATTGAAATTCTGTAAGCATTTACTAAGTGCTTAATCAATTTGAAATACAGTAGACATTAAGCCTCAAAGAAGGTACAAGCTAGAGATTTTGTGAGGAAATACATACACATGTACACATATAGGTATAGGTATATGTGTACATGTGTGTATGTATACATATCATATTCTGCTTTTTGAAGATAAATTATTTCCATTGAGGTGTGTTCTTCATTGGCACATTAGTAATAACACTGCCTAGTACTTTTATTGTCATTTTTGCCAAAATAGATTTGAGGTACTTTTCAATGCCACCCTCCTTTTATAGGTTTTGAAATAATGTTTTCAAATTTTTATGGTTTATTAATTTCTAGAATTGATATATGTCAGTGCTTTTTCAAGCTCATTGTAGAAGTTTCAAATAATAAATCATTGTAAATTATTTTTTATACTGTCTCATAGTAGAAACTGAATGAGCTGCATGTGTATATATGTGTTGATCTTATGTTGAATTAATCAGGTTTTTTCTTTTTGACTGGGTATTCTGTTTGTGTTGGTTTTTATGCTGATTCTTGTATATTCTCTTGCTTACTTAGTACCTCTGACAACCAATTTTAACTTGGCTAAGTAGATTTAAGGGTGCAAACTATGGCCATCAAACTGAGGAAATCTAAATGACCCAAATAGCAACCAAACCCCTATTAACACAATCACACATACGAACTTTGACAGCTTCAGTTTTATAGGAATACAGAAAATGGTGGGGGGCTGTGAAAATACATTAGCATTTAAATTATTCTTTTATTTCAGTTAAGGTTTACCTTTATATTCTTAACAACTGTAAGTTATTTCCCAAATATGCCCTTTCTTAAATTGTTCTTTTAGTAGAACTAACAATTTTATATCAGATACAAAGGTACATCGATCGGTGCTTACAAATAAATACACCTTGGGGAGTCATTGAAAATTCTCAGTTAAAAATGCAGCTGCATGGCACATATCAAACAACAGCAAACAAAATCCGAACTTGTGGAACAACATATTTAGGGAGATGTAAGGAATGTTAATTTAACAATGATGATTCTTGTTAATATGGTTTAACCCAATTTTATAAAGCTCAAAACACAAATTGTTTCACATGGCATTTTATTCCCATATCATGGACCCTATTGAACCCAGTAGCTTAAAGCCATTTAACATATGGCAAATTTTGATTTTTTGTTCTCTCTCTCTCATTCTCTTTCTCTCACTCTCTCTCCATGGAATTTGAAAGTACCATTTATTAAATATTTTTAAGGAACCAAAAATGTTAAGCTGCCTTGCCCCAGGCAGGGTCCTCTTTTTACATGCTCTTCTTCAGGTCCCAAGACTTTAAAGTGAAGGGAAGCGCACGGGACAAGGGTAACACTAGTGTTTATAACAACTCTGTGAGGCGGAAACTGACCTCTTCTCCAATTCCTGCCTCTTCCATATAAAACAGCAGGAAAAGTAAAGGATCTATTAGCAAATCCAGCACTAACCTCATCTCTCTTCCACTGTGGTTATCATGTGGATATTTCATAATAGAAGATCCAGAGAAACAATTTCTAGAGCTCTCTTGTCAGTCAGATGTGAACTGAATTGCTTTTACTGGTCCAAATTAGTGCAACTGAGAAATTGCTCCTAGCATAGAACATTGTTTATTGCACTCAATAAATATTCATTGAATTGGATTAGAATCACTTCTGTTGTGAAGATAATTATTAATATATATAGGTGACAGTAGTAGACTACAAACGTATAAAGTTTTTCCTACTTTTCCTTCAACTTCTTCTAAACAACGTTCATTCCTATGTGTGTTGAGTATGATTCGGCCATGTGTTTCCTTGTAACACATGACATTTTATCTTCTGCACCAAAGTTACTTTTTCTAAGCACTGTTTTAAAGTTATGTACTAATTCTAGAGCGTGATATTCATTTGGAAGTAAATATTAAATCTTTTACATACTAAAATTCCCAAGGGAAGAATACTTTGAGTAACAAAACATTTCACTAGAATCAGCGAATTAACACCATAGTTTTTCTTTATTAGTAAAACTCTGATGCATTGGAGCGGTATGGGGGGGCAGGAGAAATACACTGAATGTGTGAATGACTTTCCTACCATGAAAACCCTTAAACAAATTGTTGCATCACTACCAGGACTAATTTCAAAAGATTAAACATATGCAACAACCTCCTGTCTTTAACATTTCTCCTCTTCCTCTTTTGCATCATTCATTTTTGTTTATATAAAAATGTCATTTTAGAAAACCATTTGGGATTCCCTTTTTTTGGTAACTAAAAAGTTGCTTGTATATTTTTATGAACCCACTAAACTTAAACAGATCTCTTTAGAAAAATAATGTGGATATATTTTGCTTTCTGCAGCCTGAAGAATGTTAAAATAGAAATGCTTTCTTGAATTCCCTCTTCTGGCTCAAGTTACTAGGTGGTCCCAAGTTACCAGAAGTAAAATTTATAAATCTAACCCCTAGTCTAGACATTTTCCAGCACTGACTGCAGTTCAAAAAATATTAATGTCTAGCCGGCAAAGTGAAACTCCCCCCAGTGATTTTGCAAATGACTAGAAAGTTAACCTTTTGCCAACTGCTCCTTCTGTGCATGGAGGTTATTAAAAAGAATCCAGGCATTTATAAGTGTGGGCTTTTTAAGACTGAAACACCTTGGCTTGACCCTTTGTGTCTCCTTCTGTTTATTCAGGCTTGGCCTCGGTGGCTGGAATGTGCGAGCCTGAGAGGAGCTGCAGCATTAATGAAGACATTGGCCTGGGTTCAGCTTTTACCATTGCACATGAGATTGGTCACAAGTGAGTGAGTTTAAGAAAATCAAAATAAATTGTAGAACTCCATACTACTGTGTGGAGCGCATGTGCTTAACCATATTTTACTGCCTTCTTGTCTGGTTTCAGTAGAGAATGTTATCATTTAGGGTATTGGGATAAATCATCTTAAGAACTGGAGACTTGTTAAATAAGCTTTCTGATTCATGACTGGTGTCCTCAGAGCGGTAAATACATCACACTTGAGTTTTGTGATATATGTCCATTTGAAATAATTGAGCTTCAGAGTGGTCTACTCAACACTTAGTTCCTCAAAGGGAAATTGTTGAAATGATCTTTCTTTTCCTCAAGTGATAACACCTATGTATTATAAAATCATCACTGATACCATTCCATAAAACGTACTTTCCATTTTTACTCTTCATATAGTTTGTGAGCATATCTTTTTCCAGGAATAAAGATTGTGCTATGATTCCTATGTAATTTTGTTTTCAGGTGTCCTTCTATGTCATTGAAAAAAAACTGGTGTTACAAGAGTAGTGAGTCATCATCCTTACTACTGTTAGGAGCATCTAGAGTTTTAATATTTGTTTCAAACAGATTTGGCCAAAAACTATCTTATGACCTTTCCTCCTTCACCTCCCCTCTACCCCACACCCCCTCCGTGGTAATAAAAGCCTTACTTTCTTTACTTCAAACAACAGGCCTGCTCATGTGGAGGGAGAGAAGTTTGAAAACTTTAAAAGGAGAGTCAAACATTTTTAAATCAAACAAGCAGCCTATTTGCAAGAACTCCTGACATGTATGATTTAAGTTTTACAGCCTGCTTTTTTTTTTGGTAGAGAATGAGTAGAGGGGGTAAAGAACAAATAAAAATGAATGTTTATTATACACTTGCCTCAGAGATCATTCCTGAGATAAATTTGCAGGTCAGCTTTTTTTTTTTTTAAGAGGAGAATAAAATTGGGTCAGTCTGTTGCATTATTTGGAAAATTGCAATTAAAAATTTTCCAAATTGGTATTGATTTATGTGTAATTTCAATTAACTGGCAAGTTTCAAACCTGAATTGCTTCAGACATGGGGAAAAATCAGTATTATACTTTTAATAAAGCTCTAAAATTATTGGTATTCTAGTTTCCATTGCAATAAATAGCAAGGGAATGAAAGGGAAAGGCCCTTTCAAGCAGTCAGTTTATCTTCAATGCACTAAAAAATTTAGCTCATTAATGACTGTCATAATTTTATGCAGCCAGACTGAATGTAATAGGTACTGTTAGATTCCATTAAGTTGAAGGTTGGGACAAGTAACATAGCATGGATGAATAATGTATGTATGAGAGCACTGTTACTTCATGCTGTTACAAGTTAGTCCATGCCACCGTATGCATTGCAAGTTCTCTTCTTGTATGTCCTTAAATAGGTGATGTGGGGATTTATCTCTGTATTCTTTAATAACATTCTAATGGAGTTACTCTCAGGCTCTCTAGACTTTTGTTGATGTTGTTAGCCCAATGGGTAATTCTTTTTAATTTTCCCTGAGGTGAATGGTTTATACCATACGTAGAACTGTGAAAGAAGTAGAATATACCTCTTAAGATTTATGTTCCTTGGGATAACTTTATTTCACTGCTAATTCTTGTTGGATAGTGGGAGTGTCAAACATAGGATGGGGTAGATCCACAAAATGCTTTATAATGAAAGCCAGAAGACATGCTTCCATTCAAAAAATGCTTTTTGACAGACTAGAAATCAGCTTTCTGTGTCCAGCTGATTACTATGTATCACCCTTTTCCCCAGACAACTAAGCAGGATATGTTTAACATGTTATTTTTTTCAATATGTCAAATTGTTATTTGGTCAGTTAGGGAAAATCTGTTTCATGAATAGAGTCCTTTATTACTTGCTGCTGAGATCTTCCGGTTTAGCTTTGAGGAACTTAGCAAGTTAACTCTAGCACAATCCATGTCATTAAAATATGTGGTGCTTTCTGTTCTTCCTGAAACAAATCAATAGCCATGATAGACAAATCGAGTTTACTTCTTAGATGAAGTACAGTGAACTTGTGTAACTTGTATTGTTTAGTAGGATGCGATATAATGATGTCTACAGATTTATCACAATGAAAAATATTGAACCATAAAATTACCAAAAAGTGTTTCTACTGAGTCTTAGACTGTAAATATTGTCTACCTATTAAAAAATTGTGTAGAATATGAGTTTGTACCAAGTATATGCTTGAGTAGGGATATAATATCCATTTTAAACAGCTGTGGGAAAACTTTTTTCTTTGGCTGGGCCTTAGTGACCACTTTTATTTTTTTCTATGCCTTTGTAAAAATAAGAAGTGAGTTTTCTTGTCGAATGAAAAATTGAGGTTTATGCTATTTTGAAACAACAGGGTCTGGCTCTAATGTAGGTTATAAGCCCAGGGCACTTAATGAAACCGAATAGAAAAAAGTGTTCTTTAAAAGATCTTTTTATTAATTATGTCATTGCCATACGTTTCAGAAGTTGAAAAATTAATGGTATTGAAGAGGGGTGTGAAAAATTCAACTAAACCTCTAGTTGTGTTGAGAAAACTATCTAATGTATCCACATTGTGCAAAAACAATCTTTAAAAGACACCTTAAATATTAATATTTTTAGGGGATGCATATTGAAGTAGGCGAGACTGAAGTGACAGGGCAGCTGAGATTCACTTTTAAAAGAAAGGGGAAAAGAGAAAGATTAAGCAAGAATGACACCGTGTTAAATTTCATAATCTTCAAGATGTGCGGTGGGGGCTCATTACACTGCTCCCTCTACTATTGTGTGTGTCTAATTTCTGTTTCAAATAAGAATAGGCCCTAAGGCTGTAAGTCTTTTAGGTGTGACAACTCCCTTCTAAATTAATAGTGATTGAGTGAACTGTAAATCTGATTTTGAGAAAATTTAAAGAAGTATTAAAAGTTGCATTGGAAGCTGCCAAGGTATATTGGTCTTAGTTTTGGAAATCAATGCCAGTGCTTGCTTTTACCAGTAGGGATACTCTTTCCATAGAAGACTGGCTAGGAGATGAATTGTCTTTTTTAAAGGAGAAATGTGGCAAGACTTTAGGATAAAATTGTAAATTAAATTACGTGTGTTAGGAATTTCCTATGACTGTTTTATTTCACCCAAATTTCCCTTTTTCTGCTGGAAGTACTTGTGTTTTTAAATGCTTGAACAGTGCTGCGCATTCATGATAGAAGGCCAATAATAAACGCACACCAACGTATTGGGAACTTTTAATACCTTCATCTAGTTTTGGTATTAAAATAACGTTAGTCTTATAAAATGAGTTAAGTATTGTATTTCCTGGAAGAGTTTGCTTTCCCATGGGTACATTTTAAAACATTACTTAGGTATCATTGAAATACAATAAATATGCTTCTATATAGTTTGTATACAGTTCAGTAAACTGTGGCAAACGTATGTAAACATGTAACCACCACAATCAAGATACCAGCATTCACATCACCTAAGAAAGCCCCCATCGTCCCCTTCCAGTCACCACCCTGCTCCTTCTTCACCTGGTCCCAGAAAACCACAGGTCGACTTTCTATCATATAGATTAGACTTGTCCTTCTCTGGTTTCATTTAAGTAAAACTGACATAATAGGTGATTTTTTGCATCTAGGTTTTTTCCCTTAGCACCATGTTGTTGAGATTCATCCATGTTGTGTGTATCAGTAGTTTTTTGTTTTTTCTGGATAGTAGTTCATATCACAATAGCACATACCTCATTTGTGGTTGTTTCTAGTTTGGGCTGTTATGAATAGGACTTCTGTGAACATCCACGTACAAGTATTTGCATGGAGACTGGCTTTTATTTTTCTTGGGTGATAATGCTGGTACCATGATATGTGTTAGTTTCACTTTATAACAAACAAACAATTTTTTAAAGTAGTTATACACCATTTTGCATTCCCACGAGCAATCTAAGAACATTCCTATTACCTCAGATCCCTGCCAACATTTGTATTGTAAACTAGTTGTGATTTTAGTTATTATCATATATTTTAGCCATATCTCATAGTAAATTTAATTAGTTGATTATTTTTTGATAGCTTATGATGGTACTGACAATGAGCATCTCTTCATGTGCTTATTTCTCATTTATTATCTTCTTTGAATATCCAAATTCTTTTTCAATTTCTTTTTTAAAAAATATCTTTTATTAATTATGCCATTACAGTTGTTCTATTTCCCCCCTTCATTCCCCTCCACCCTGCACACCCCTCCCCCACCATTCCCCCCCTTTAGTTTATGACCATGTGTCTCAAGTTCTTCAGATTCTATATTTCCCCTACTATTCTTGCCATCCCCCTATCTATTTTCTACCTACCATCTAGGCTACTTATTTTCTGTACCTTCTCCCCCCTTCTCCTTCTCCCACTCCCCTGTTGCTAACCCTCCATGTGATCTTCATTTCTATGGTTCTGCTCCTGATCTAGCTGTCCTCTTAGTTTGCTTTTGTTTTAGATGTGGTTCTTAATAACTGCGAGTTTGCTGTCCTTTCACTGTTCATCTTTTTTTATCTTCTTTTTCTTAGGTAAGTTCCTTTAACATTTCATATAATAAGGGCTTGGTGATAATGAACTCCTTGAATTTGATTTTATCTGAGAAGCATTTTATCTGCCCTTCCATTCTAAATGAAATCTTTGCTGGATAGAGCAATCTTGGTTGTATTTGGATTTCATGACTTGGAATACTTCTTTGCAGCCCCTTCTTGCTTGTAAGGTCTGTTTTGAGAAATCAGCTGACAGTCTAATGGGAACTCCTTTGTAGGTGACTGTCCCCTTATGTCTTGCTGCTTCTAGAATTCTCTCCTTCATTTTAATCTTGGTTAATGTAATTCTGATGTGCCTTGGTGTGTTCTTTCTTGGGTCCAACTTCTTTGGGACTCTGAGCTTCCTGGATTTCCTAGAAGTCTATTTCCTTTGCCAGATTGGGGAAATTCTTCTTTATTATTTGTTCAAATAAGTTTTCCACTCGTGGCTGTTCC